AACAGTGTTGCACTTGCTGTCCATCATGACTGACTGCATAAGCAAAAAAAAAAAACAGGTAAAAGACTGATAACCATTCTGCGAAGATTATACAACCAAGTGATTTCATCTAGAGCCATGAGTATGATCGATATGCACCATTTCTCTCATTATGCAAACACCTAAGTTTGAATTCATATGAATTGCGAGAGAATTTTCCCTTGATATGAATGAGGGATCCTCGGTTCATGCAGGATGGTCTGTCAAGATTTAATTCACCAAGCGAGGAGGCAGATCAGTTTGAGAGAGAAGAGGCAGTCTTTGGCAGTGGCATCAATGCTGGTCTGTGAGGATTCTTCAAGATGTTATACTGCTGTCAAAGAATAAACCTGAAGCAGAGCACACATACAGACTAGGGCTTCGCACCATATGGTATACAGTATACGGCCATATAGCCACTGGTATAGTGATGGGCAATGGCTGGTCTGTAACCATACCGTCAAGGCTCTTAGAACTAGGTTGACTGGTATGGTATGGGTATATAGATGGCCATGCCAGTCGTCAATACGGCCAGTTGAATAATACATACCTAATATTTGGGGCTTCAGAGCAGCTTCAGATCTTGCCATGGGCACGTCATCATCTGCATCATGATAAAATTGATTTTCGAGGGGGATTTCAAGTTTCTGTTGGCATTGAGGGCACACTTATCTGTCATGATGCTCAGAATGTGGTCGTAAGTCTGCGAAAAAAAAGGACTCTTTCATGAACTCCTCTGGCTTAAAATTCAGCAGTATTTGACAGATGCACAGGCCAGCAGGGGCCAAATTATTGCGCAATATGTGTGGGTAGTCAAACTCAAAGGATGAAACAGTAGTAGAATAGAGGCAGCAGAAGCAGGAAATAGAAAGTATTCTATGCTGGTAAGGATTAGAGCTTGAGTAGAGCGAGTGAAAGAAGATCGGGTGGTAGTGCTGAAGAGCTTGCAGTGCCAGCACATCATGGTACGATGTTAAGTGTATAGCAAACACGCATACAGCATGATCTGATGATGGTTATTTTTAGATACATACATGGCTGTTGATTATCATATGACAGCCATGTTTATACAGTTGCTAATGGGATACGGGATGTCCATATACCATCTGTCTCTGGGCAAGTTATTTTGTCAGACGGTGACATGTGTGCAATGCGTTCACACATGTAATTTTGCGAATTCTAGGAATGCAAATGTGTGTGTGCCCTGTGAATAATATCAGAGTGCATGTAAGGCATAGAGCGCTACACACTAAGGCAGAAAGCACTATAATAAAAATAATATGAGTAGAGTGCATGGCTTAGACTTAGAGCGGCACACTGGTGTCATTTAAGTGTGCAGTCTCAGTGCTTATACACACACACTGTGCCCTCCTCTGCAATGTATCAATCAATTAAATTCACTGAAGATAATATATTGAAGGTGCTTCATGCTGCATTGATCTATGATGCACAAACCCTGCCGATCCGGCAATCACCGAGAAACGTCATCCTGAACAAAGAATCAACAAGTCCAAATACTCTAAGGAGTTCTTGGCTGGAGAGAAATAAAACCCGCTGCCCATATGAAATATTAAACTAGAAATGGTTGCGCAGCAACCAATAAAATAAAACTCACTCACTAGATAAGTTGCGTGGCACTGTAATTAAATCCATGGAGCCAATAAGAAGACACATGCCACATGGCACGATGAGGCTAGGCCTTGTCAAGTGGAGAAAACAGCGGTAGCACGTGTGCCGACACAGAGTGCTGAGTAAAATAATGATTACTATCACTACAGCTGACGTGGCATGCAAGAGAAGGGAGTCCAAGGTGGAGCATTGTCTATTTTCAGTATTTACATTTCATATAGTTAATAGTAAATATAAGAGCGGTAGTTACAGGTAGTTAGCAAGTTTTCAGACCCCTGCAGTTGTACTATGAAGCAGCACACTTAGTGTATGATGAAAGGATTTTATTTGAAGCTTCGAGCGAGAGAATATTATTGAACTTAGAATTATTTTGAGCACCTTGAGAGCTTGCGAGGCACACCTTGCTTGAGCGTGCTTGATTTGTTCAAGTAAAGTACAGTAATTGATTGCGCTCTTCTTAGAGAATATTGTATTGTGATAACTTGAATGTGCATTTGTGTTTTTGGAACTTATTTGTGAATTCTGAGTTATTGCAAGTGGCAGAGGTTCAAACCCTTTGGCTTGTCAGTAATCTCTGAGGTTTTTGGTTTATTCCCAAGTGGCATAGGTACAAACCCTGTGGCTTGTGGACGTGTTTTCTGTGTTTGTGTATCTCTGGATCGCATAGGTTAGAACCCTGTGGATCTACGAACGGGTTTTGAAGTGTTTTCTGCTTGGAGCACAAGGCTTTAAGTCGTGTTAAGTGTATTGTGAAACGTTGCAGACACTTGTGTGTTGTGCGTGATGTATTTTGAGGGTTATACATTCTTGTAGAACATTTGGGGGCTTGCAAAATAATACTTTTGCCTTGAGGCCAAGCGATTCTGTCGCTCACCTCCTGTTCCAAAAGCATTTGGATTTAGAAGATTATTATATTGCTAAGCATGCTATATTATATTGTAATGTGCAAGGATTCTTTCAATACTACTGCTATTGTGTGCTTGTATTGCACATCACCCCTGAACTACTGAGGGTTTGTGTGTGTGAGAGTGTGAGTGTGGGTGTGTTAGTGTTATATACGCTAGTGCATTTCTAGCTTGGTGCACACAGAGCCTCTTCAACAGAATGGGTATGGTACTCATATGATGGCACCCATATAACCATACTATACGGTGATGGTGTGAAGCCCTAATACAGACCTCGGTCAGATAATCTTGCCATGTCAGCACATCTGGCATAGAAAATGGTTGGCTGGAGAGATCATCAGTTAGAATGAAAATGACCAGAACAACAATAGATCAGTGGCACTGGATAGGGAGAATTGGGAGCAGAATCATAAACAGGATCGAGCAAAAGCGGAAGAGATTATCAAACGGAACACAAATAGAAAAGTTTCCATGCAGAGCGCAGCTGCAGGTTTGGCAATGGCTGTTAATGAAAATAGATTTTCACATGATTTGTTCAGGACAGCATAATAACTGAGTATCCTATACTTATACATAGGACTCGGAATGATTTCCAGCATAAAAGCATATCCAACCATCTTCTCAAGCTCCCGCAGTGAGTTGGCATTGTAGGTGTTGACTGTGCATGGCAGTACATCCTCTGGATTTTTTTAGGTACATACACTCGACCTTTTTTGTCTCAGGCTGACTGACCGATCAATATACTTCCTATGGCAGAACATGCGGTATCCACACACTGTCACTCAGTAAAGAAAAGCTACCAGTAGTAGCCAGGTGAGAAACGGTCTTTGCTGAAGGCTCGGATGAAGTGATGGGCCATCGCGAGGCGTGGCATATCCAAGTCCTGTGTGAATGGAGGGAAATGCTATTGCAAATGACATGTTGACTGTAGGAAAGGTTGGAGCAGATTTTCCACTGATCTCGGAATAAATGAGAATAATCACAATTATAGATGAAAATTGACAGGAGGGGTGCACCCTTATGGCGCCTCTGAATCATTGGATGCATGTTAGGCAAATTACATTCAGAGGCCAAAAAAAGACAGCAGAAAGATGAGAGCCATCTGTATCATCATTCATCAGATCGGGATGAAGGCATGAGTTGTGGGAGGTGAGTTTGGATTTACTGTAGGTCCATTGCCGTTGTTCATTTATCAGAATAATAGAATGCTCACAGATAAAGGAAAGTTTGTAGACGCCACTGTCAGCCACCTCTACCCTGGTTATGGGACTAATGGTCTTGACTGTCTCAGCCTCCCATCTGCATTTGAGAAACTTATAAGTCTTGATGATGGTCACATCTTGGTCACTTGGCATTATGAGTGGATTTCAGATCTGTGTCCATCCAGTGGGTGAAGTAAGACTAGTTCCTTTTTTCTAATCTACCACATTGTTATTGTATATGAATCTTCTGTTATGCTTTACTTGTGTTGATGGATGCTGTAAAAATGCATTCAGTATAATGATTTGACTGGTCAACAAAATGACATCTTCATTCCCTTCAAATCTTTGAAGAACTCGATATTCCCAGGATACCTCATCGCCAACACTACCACTCATACTAGTTTGCCTTTATAGAATGAAGCATTCGTTCCACTGGCGATCGCCAATCTCCAATGTCCATACACACTTGCAATTCTATGTGACCATCCAGAGTGACTCGACACTTTCTCTATATCCTTCCATTGTTTGCCACTGCAGTCCACTCATAAGTTGTCATAATGCATCCTATCGACTGGGGTACGTGGCACGATGACAATGCTAGGAAAGCATTAAAGCATTAATTCAGAATGATGTTTCGACTCTTGAGCATCTATTAGAAATTAGTATCGATGGATATTTTACTCTGTATGATATAAACTTCATGTAGCAGCATGCCAAAACATCTAGCTGACCCTTGAGCACTCGAATATAAGAAAATTATCCAAGAATTCACATACCAACTCGGATGCTCCCATCATGATATGTCAATACATAATATCCAGACATCCCTGTGTCGGTCGAGAACAGCTATACAGTTGAGCTAAAGGCCATACATGATCCCAGAGGTATACAGCAGCCCATCAATGAGGGCGACGATATACTCCGAGCTCCTACTATCGGTCTTCGAGAAGGAAAGCTGCCATTCTGTAACCCTTGTAATGCTGACTGCAAAGGCTGATACAAGGTTGGATATATCACAGGTTTTATCTGTATGCCCCAGAGATAAATTGCAGTGTGAGAAGACAACATCAGATGTGAAATCAATCATGTGATATGAGGTACAAATCGATTTGAAGCGAGCCCATTGAAAGGCGTGAAGACCGTCAAGATGTCCTATGTGATCCTTGCAAAGCTCTCGGTCATCATCATTTTCCCTGCACATGGGACCAGCATCAAAAAGGATCAAGTCCTCCAGCAATGGTCACCCTTCTAAGAAGTCAAGAAACTCCAAAGTGGAAGGGCACTGCGAAATGTCGGTGGATTTGCGACAGAAGGAAACATGTGTAAGGCCACGAAAATAATGTGCCGGCCATGCAGAAAAACTATCAAGATACAGCATTCGCAGACTAGGCATCTGTCTGTCAAAAAGATGACATGGACATACTAACAGGATAACAGGAAAGAGAGCAAACAATGCACAATAAGAATCTGAATGAGAAAGACGAACAGTGAGAAAGACGAAGCAAAAAAGAATCTGGCAGTAACAAAATCTTGAGGTGCAAAGCAGGGTGCTGAGAGTCGAAGTGGTTGTCATTACTGTCATTAAAATACGTTGATATGAACAACCATTGTCTGATACAAGAATCAAGAATTTGGGAAAAAGGTGGCAGAAACCAAAAGAGCATCGGTGCCCAAACACTGATCAATGCTGGATCTTGCCAAGTTGCTGAAACGAGAACCGGGGAAACCTCGGAGGTAAGAGAATGCACCGCCACTGAAGCCCGACTGCAATAAGACCGAGAAGACCGAGACCTGTATACACAGGACTCGGAACACTGTTAGTCCCATTGCCCTACTATAATTCCTATGCTCTTCCTGGGCATGGAATATCAATCATGGGGTGGAGGTGAGGTCTTTCCATTTGATGGAAATACATCGACTCGATACCAATATACTGTTATGGTTTATTCACTTTTCTTCATTTTACTCAGCTTGATTACTCATATGCGATCCCTGTGGATCATTTCTCACAGTACTATTATTAGCGTAGCCACTTGTATTTAAGTAGAGCCTTAGCTGGTCTAAACCCCAGCTTCAGCTAAGGTTTAATCTACCCAACTTGAACTCCGTTCTTCGTGTCTACTTGCCCACAACCTGCTCTGACATCGCCTTTGACTTACTAGAGTATCTGCCACCGAAGTGCGAGTGGTGATCCTAGTTCGATCTAAGTTGATTATTAGTTGGTTGTTAACATTTAGCCGAAGCTTGTCCTATGTTGCTCAACGCATTGTGTTGCCCAACATTTATCTCCTTATCCTTCTATTTCTGGTAGCCGACTGGGCTTTACCCCTCCTGTTACCTGACCCGATCCTTACCGTTGTCCTTATAGTCCTCGTGACTATCCTTTTTACCCAAACGGTCATCGGTGCCCCACTATTCGCAGCCTTGCTCGTAGTGGCATACGTTGGCCTTCTTCGAATCTAAAAACATGAATCCTTCCCAAACATCCCTCCAACTTGCCTCTTGGCTGGCAGTAATCCTGCTCGCTCTGACAAGTACCTTCGAAGTAGATGATTCTTCATCGATGACCGGTTCCACCTACGAAACCGACCTCAACTTAATAATCGCTGTACTCGCCACCCTCACTATCCTTGCATTGACCATTTTATGGTCCAACATAACCGCCGGACTCAACAGAGAATAGATCCGCGGACGGATGCCCTGGTCCGACGCCATTCCCGCCGTCTTCGCGACTTTTATACTCTTTTTCTTGTCCATTATTTTGTACCGACTACACCGCTGTTTCCGAGAACAGAGGAGAGTCCGTGCCCAACTCCCGTTTCACTACGTTCCCAGCACACCCACCTATCCTCCACCAGTAATTCACATTCCCACCGCCTCTCAGCAGACAATATGAGATGTCGAATCCAACGTCTCTGGGGGACCTGGAGAATCCCTCTACGGATCGTCGCGATCCAGCTCGCGATACTCAGAGTCGAGCACCGACTCCTACAGAAGTGCTACCGCCGAGTCAGTCGACTCCGTCGACATCACAGATACCCAGGGCGTACTCCTCGACCGAGGAGACTTGCCCCTACCAGGCCTCTTCGACCAGTCTCCAGTCGAAGGCGAGCCAAGCAACAACAGAGGCCGAGGACAAGGCACCAGGCATCTGGTCGAGGGCGAAGAAAGCCCTGATACCGAGTACGAAGGGGATAAGCTCACCAAGCTTGAAAGAATCTGACTTGAAGACCTCCTCAACGACCTCTACCCGAACACGGAGGAAGATGCTACCTATACCGGAGACAGCTGGAGTGGAAGGTCTCAGACTAGGTGGACAGATGCAGACTGGGGAAGCGAGCGAAGGAGGTATCATGACAGAAGGAGGGAGAACTTCAGTGATGATTCCGGAGAGCTTGCCCTTGGGGCCTCCGCCGCAACTACCACCCGTACAGATGGAGCAGGACCCATTCTTCCTGCTTGGCCGACAAACAGGGGCCCCCCTGTTGGGTGGCACCCCAGCACCAGCTGGGTCTATGCCGACCCAGGGGAAGAAGCTCCTGTGGCCCGAGTCTCGTCCCTGAGGAGCCTCCTTGTCCCCAAGCGCCCAGAGGCCTCAGCGCCCGCTCCCACCGTCGCCAGGGCTGAACCGACAGATCAGCAGCTCTGGAGTGAGTTCCCGGACTACGATCCTGAAGAGCTTGGAACAATTGCCGGGGCCGGAGACCTCGCCCCAGTCCCCTTTACACTGTCGGTTGCGGGGCGAGCATTCGCTGACCCTGTCCCTAGCAACCAGCGTCCATGGACACTTCTCTACCACACACTCGTCGAGTTGCTCAACCTCCCTCGAAATGCCCAGGAGTCCCCAGAAATCGAGGCCCGAATGGACCGAGCAAGAGCGGCAGACACACGCACTCGACGTGCCGAAATCGCCGCCCTCATCGGACCCAATGCCTTCTGGGACCTCCCCATCGAACCAGATGCCACCCACGCCGAGATCGAGAATAGGCAGCGAGCTGCCGCCCTCCGATACTCTGGGCTCGTCGAGCGGGCAGGAACAGACCTTGAAGCCCACTGAAGAGCCTGGCAGGCCTACAAGTCAGAGATCAGCGACCCCGACTCCGACATCGGGCGGTGGAAGAGAAACAAGGAGATCGACAGACTTGCCAGAGAGAGGAAGGAGGCCAAGGATGCCGAGTCGGCTGCCAAACAGTTCCCTCGAGGGCAAGGTGATGAAGGCGGTCCGGATGGTCCTCGTCGACCCCATGGCTCCGGTACCAACAATCTTTAACATTTTACCATGGCATGGGCTCTACGAAATAATGATGGAAGATATGGAGCGGGACTCCCAATGGCTCCTCACGGAGGCAGGGGAGGATTACCGACACATGAAATACATGGGGGACGTTTACCTCATGAAGAATATCCTGGAGGTGGAGACGTGGCACAGGGCCGCTGTGGTATGGAACCAGGTGCATCCCGATGCTGCACGACCAGGTTGCGAACCTTATCGACGACCGCAGCCGATGCCCAATCCGCTAGAAACCGAAGAGTTCTGGGCGGGCGTGGGACCTGATGACCCCAACGATATGTGGGACGATCCTGGAGCCAGGACGTCCAAGAAGGGAAAAGAATCCACGGTGCCGACCCAACCACCGCCGCCACCGCCGCCACCCAAGTACCCGGAAGGCTACCTGCCACCTGGCGATAACCACCATCTGCGCTCACTATCACGACCCCCGAACGCACCAATCCCGCCGGCTCCGCCACCGCCTCTGGACCCTATTCTTCCCTGGGAGTTGGCCCCGGGAGTGGCGAATAATCCGTGGAACGACGTGAAGCCCAAGTTGATCACGCAACCAGAATACTTCTTCGGGGTATCTTCAGACATCACGCGTTTCCTCCATCACTGCGAAGTGTACTTCCAGGTTTTTCCCATGTACTACACCATGAACAATGAAGGGCAGAACCCCTATCGGATTACCTTCACCCAGAGCTATTTGCGTGGGGAAGCTCAGCAGTGGTGGGTAGACCAGTACTATCGCTACCAAACGCCATGGGGGCACTGGAGGTTTCCGACGTGGGATGAATTTTCCCGAGACCTCACCACCCAATTCCGTGAGGTAGCCGAGTTAGCCATATGGAAGCAGGAGTGGAAGAAGGTCCGACAATCGGACTTCAAGTCCGCGGTGGAGTTCTTTGCCAAGTTCGAGCGTCTAGCCCATAAATGCGAGGAATTCGAAGATGAGAAGCAGATGTTTAAGGCGGTCGAAGCGGCGATAAGGCCAATGGTGCGAAAGACGGTTATGCATGGGGACAATGAACGCCCCACAACCTATGCACAATGGAAAGCGCACGTACTCCGGATTGACGCCAACTATCAATACGATGTCGCCCAAGGATTGGGCAGTAAGACCTCCCAGAACCAAGGCGGTTCGGGTCAAGGCAATCAAAATCAGTTGAAAGGGCAGGGTTCCAGCAGCGACAAGAAGGACGCCACGGGAACCACCTATGGGGGCATGGGGCAGCCAATGGAAATCGACAAGCTCCGGTCCAACAAGCAATGCTTCAAATGCGGGAATACCGGGTGGAGCCGAGGCCATAAATGCCCAACAGACAAATCAAAGTGGCTTCCCGTCAAACTCCCCCCTCGCAAAAAACCCAACGTCCAACGCCTTCGACAACTACTCGTGGAAGCCGAAAAGGAGGAGTTAGGAGAAAGCACGAAAGTCGAGGAGGTCAAGGAAGAGAAGTCGTCAAAAGACGAGCCAGCGTCGAAATAAGCAATTCGACGGCGCCGGCCAAGGACTTAATTTCTCCTGGTGCACGATCATGTACTACTAGTCGGACTTATACTACGTATGTAGGGACTCCATACGAACAATATACCAACTTTTTTACCGCGTTACCAGTTGAAGAGATCAAGAATGAAGAATCGCAAAATGCCCACGGCGTAGGAGGGGATTTCCGCCTTTCGACGCGGTCTGCATCGGAAAAAGAACCCTTAGGGGCTGGTCCACCTCAGACACCCCCACCTGACCGAACAGGGCAAGTCCTGGAGAACCCAGCGAGCGCCTCAGGTCAGGACAAGATGGACGCCAGATGTGGTGGTCATCGCCCTGGCAGGGAGAATCGGCCGACGACTCCGACGGGTGGGCCTTCAGCCCCAGTTGTTCCTCCTGTCAGTGGCAGAAAAGCAGCTGAGGCTGGGAACCAAGGGGACCACCTACATTTAGTAGTGGCCTCATCCGCAAACGATGCCGACCCCCTTGGGGAGCCAATATGTGTGCGACTGCCTCGGGTTTCCGAGAGTACCGCTGGCATTAGGAATGAGGTTAAGTATGGAATCACAGTGGAGGTTACAACGCCACGCACAAGCGCCCTTGGCCAGGGCCGAATGCAGGGCAGCGAGCCCTCCTCCACCAACTC